AAATGCCAGCAAAGTGATGTTGTAGCCTCTGTGCCTCACATCAGAAGGGGCACATGGTCAGGCTGTCCATTTTTTGTGATCACTTGGTTAAGGGGGTGTCTGCCAGGTTTCTCCACGGTAAAATGACTAATCCTATCTTTTTAATTAATAAATGTTTTATGGGGAGAGACTTTGATATGTAGGTATCCTATACCTCATCACACTTTCATCCACTAATTTTATCATCCTTTGATCATTGGATGATTAGTATGATTTTTGTCAAATGGTGAATTTCTAGCTCCACCATTTCTTCTACCTTTATTTGAAACAATGTTACTATAAGAAATGTTTTCTCTCCTATTTATTTGTTTATTCATTTATTTATGTCACTGTGAACTCATAGAGTCCTGTTTTACTCCATAAGTTATAAGCTGTTGCTTTCATAATTTATTTTGATGTGCAAACTGTCCTGGATTTGGCCAGTGGGAGCCCCTTCAAGCTGGATTCTGTGTCTTCCTGACATTTCTCCTCATTCTTTAAACACTAGCCTACTGTCTGGCATGTTCCAGGTTTGTCTCGTGGGCTCTCAGTCCCAGCTATGGTGTCAGTCATTTCTCCAAGGATCCTGATTCCTTTTGGTGGAGATGGACATTTATAAATCAAGATCTGGGACTATGTGTGCAAACTGCTATATAGATACATGGTTCCCACACACATATTATAGCTTCACCTATTCTGTAAAACCATAAGTTAGTAATACCTCCAATTCCAGTTCAATACCACAGGGTTTATTTTTATCTTTCTCTTGGTGGGCGAACATAGTATGTTTGCCCATTTTCTCCATCTGTCCTCTGGATTCCATCCCTCTCACCTTCTCAAGCATTTGTCTCTGAAGAGCCCCCTCCTCTCACCCTCCTGCATCACTAAATGCTCTCCATGGGTCATTCTATCACATGCAAACATGCTCACTATCTTCCACCATAAAAACAAACACTTAGACCCACATCTCCCTCGAGCTACTGCCATATTTCTTTTTGTTCCCTTTTATAGAAAACTAGGAAGTTGTTTCCATTTTCTCATCTCCAGTCTGGCTTCTGTCCCACTCATGCCTGACCCTGATCCCTCTGCGTTCCAGATCTAGCAGGCACTTGTCTGCACACATCTTACCGAGGTCTCAGCAACATCTTACGCGGTTGAGCCCTCTCTCCTTTTTGAAATATTTTACTCTTGGAACCGTATGTTCTCCTGGTTTTCTTCTAGGCCACTTCTTCCACATTCCCTTTCCTGGCTTCTCCTCATCTAACCCATCTTGAAATTCAGAGAGCCCCAGAGCTTGGACCTTGGGAGTCTTCTCTAGATGGATGCTTTCCCCACTCTGCTCACATCATTCTCAGTGGCTCTAAGTGCCATCTGTGCTGACAACCCTCAGCTCCTCTCTCTTCTTGCTGTCCCTTGATATCTCTTGATACCCCGATCCAGCTGCCTTCTTGATATCTCTGCTTGCATGACTCACAGGCATCTCAACATGAAAGTGTCCAAAGCAGAACCTTGACTCCCCACTCACTCCAAGCCTGTTCTCATTCCCAGGATTTATCATCTTGGCAAACTGCTCAAAGCAAATATCATCTTGGCAAACTGCTCAAGGCAAAAATCTAGGCCTCCTCCCTTCCCTCACGTCTTCATGCAGCCTGCCTTTTCTCCATCCTCCTGTGCCACCATTTCAGTGCAAGCCATCATCTTCTCTTACCTGAACAGTGTAGTCGTCTCTGAACTTATCAGATCATGATATGCTCGGGTTGCAACATATTCACCAACTTCTCAGTGTTCTTAGAATAAAACCCAAACTCTCTACCACGTTCTTGAAGGCCCTTTATGATCTACCTCATGCTCTCTCTCCAACCCCATCTCACACCACTCTCTCCTCACCCCAGTTTGAACCTCACTGGTCTCCTTTCTGCTCCTCCAACACATCAAGCCCTTTCTGCCTCAGGGCCTTTGCACTTATTGCTTGTTTTTCTTTCCATCTTTGGCTCATTTTCATCTTTCATCTCTCAGCTCAAAAATTACCTCCTCAGATAAATCTTCCCCTTTCTTGGCTTTGTTTGTTTATTCTTTCTTATTTAACTCTATTTCTTTCCTAGCATTCATCACATTTTAAAATCATTTTATTTATTAGTTTGATTATTATTCATTTGTCCACCTGAGAATATAAGCTCTAGCTGGGATTTTTTTTTCTCTTGTTTACCCATTCATTTATATATTCCTTCACTCAACAAGTATTTACTGAGCTCCTACTATGTGCCAGATGTGGTTCTAAGCCCTGGGGATCCAGCAGTGAGCAAAGAAGTGCCCCGTCCTTACAGAGCTGACGAGAGCGGGTTCACTTCTGAATCCCGAGTCTGATAACAGCCTAGCAATGGGCCTTCAGTAACTGTTTGTTGAATGAATGATGAATGAGATTAACCAGATCAGCTCCCACACAGAAGCTTAGTCATGCACACGTGCATGACCTGGGGCCCAAATGTGGGCACATCCTGCTCTGTTCTGTCTGAGAACACCCTGCCCCAGGAGCCCCATGCCTGGACGTCGGGTTCCCCGCAGGGCCGGGCAGGCTGGGGTCTGTCCTCCCCACTCACCTCCCAGCCCCACCCAGGGGCCTTCTGGGCCCTACAGAAGCTACGGCCCAACAGCTAAAGATGCTGACTGGGAGCCCGGAGAGACGGGATGAACAAAAACCAGATCCTAGCCTAGAACAGATTACAGCCTTAGGTTTCTGAGTCAAAGGCTCCCCTTATCGTCTCAGCCCAGCCTCCACTGCCCAACAACCTGGGATTCCTCGTCCGTAGGAGCATTCAGGAGCTCTGGCACCTTCCTTTGTCCATCTCTTCCCTCGCCTCAGATGGAGGCTCTTGACCACCTTACCTCCCCTCCCATCTCCAGGCCCAGGCTCACTACCCTCAGGGGAGGCCATGGTACCAGGGCCCCTGGAAGCCATGTGAGCTTGGGCTCCACTGAGGTGTCTGGCTGTGCTGGGCTTCCCAAGCGAGGAGCGTCTCACGTGTGCCGGTACCTTCTCTCCAGCATGCGCGCCCTGCCTGAACTTGCCTTATAAACCCATGCTTGGAGAGCCGTGGGGTGTGCCTACATATGTGCAAAATAGTTCCTCCCTTTTTCATATACCAAAAATTTTTCCTCAGAATTTTAGCAAAATAAATTGACGGCACACCTGCCTTCCCAGCCCAGGGCTGGCAGCACAATGAGGTCGAACAAGCCCCAGACGCTGGGCTGAAGGTGCTCAGCGCCAGCAAAGACTGTAGGTCCTCAGCAAGGCGGCTGGTGGGCAGTTCTGGGGAGTCAGACCTCAGGGCAGGGAATCCCTACATAGTTGAGAGTTCCTGGCACAAGGCAGCACCAACCGAGGTCTGGCGGGGGGACTGGCTCACCCTTCATCTCCATGATCCCCTCCTTCAAGCCACCCCAAGTAGAAGTAAGAACAGGTTGCTTCTGTGCCAGCTGCGGTTCTCGAGAAATCCCCAGACCTTTCTTTAGCCAACTGTATTCTTCCTGCCCCAGCCTCCTCCCTGGAGAGTGTGGAGCCACCTTGGGTCAAGGACCCTGAGACCAAGATGGGAAACTGGAGGCAGAAGGCCTCCTGCCACGATGCTGCCGAGATTCTTGGGTTAAGTTGAGCGATTGCTTAAGTAAAGCCAGGCACTGTTCTCTCCTCCTCACTTAGTTTTCTTTCTTGGTTTTTGTTTGTTTGTTTGTTATATTACATGCTTGTAATTTTTTTAACTTTTTATTTTATATTGGAGTATAGTTGATTAACAATGTTGTGATAGTTTCAGGTATACAGCAAAGTGATTCAGTTATGCATATACATGTATCTATTCTTTTACATGCTTGTAATTTTAAGATGTAAATATTTGGTGAACAGTTGAATGAACGACTGAATGAAGGAACCAAGGAGTGTGTAAATTTATTCATGGCTGAAAAGTATCCTAGAACCAGTGAGTGACTTTCTCTTCCTCTCCGATCTTTCCTAGGTGCTGTGAACAGTGGGGATGGCAAGGCAGACCCCAGTGTCCTGGCTGTGTTCCAGGACTACATCAAACTGATGCCACTGGTTGCAGAAGCAAATCAAATGAGTGAAGAGCTGAAGAAGGTAAGGCTAGAAAATGGTAAAATCCCAGCTCCAGAAAGGACCTCAGAGAACAGGTTCAATGCACCCCTCACTCCCATTGCCCTGCACTGGCTTCATGGTGTAGACATGCCTGACACGTGGGCCTGGAGAGGGCGGGCGCTTTGCCTAAGACCCCACAGTGAGCTAGTGACAGGGCCTCAGCCAACACCCGGGCCTCCCCAGTCCCAGCCTCGAGTCCGTTCCTTCCACCTCTGGCCCCCACGGCTCTGGGACCACCAGGACCCCAGACCAACACTAGCCTGCCATGGCCACCCCACCCCAGACTGTCCTCCAGAGGCCTTCTCTGGGTGCAGGCACCCTGGTGGCTTCTCTGCCACAGAGGAGGCCTGGGCTGGCATTCGCTCTCTGGTGACACAGGATCCCAATCATCGGGAAACTTGCATGAGATTCAGTCACTTTGGTGAGGCCTACACGTGTTAGTTCCAGAATACTGTTGAGAAATTCTGGTGCTTTGGCTTTTCTCTTGATGGGAATTCCAAGGAGCAAGAGGTAGACCATCTTCTTTTAGAAAGCCTGAGTATGGAGAGAATGAAAAATAAATTTCAAAGATGGTATAGGCTGATGAAAGTAGGATTATTTAGTGAGAAGTATTTTTCTTATCAGGGGCTTAACATGGAGCTGAAAGTGAAGAACTTAGCGTCATCAGATTCCAGGGGCTATGACCTACAAAAAGAGGTCATGGTGAAGGTGACCAATCAAAGGACTCGTCAGGTGAGGCTGCTCCTTGGGGGCAGGTGTGAGACTCCACAAAGAGTTTCTGAGGAGCTTTCCTAGGGACGCAGGTTAATTTTACTTGCTACAGCTTGTGGAGACCCAGCGAAGGGGCCAGACAGGTTCCAAGTGTGAGTGGGGTTCTGGGGGACAGCCTCTGGGGAGAGGGGACCCTCTCCATGATCCCCTCCTTGGCGTCTCTCCCCGACAGCACCAAGACCTGGGATCTTTCCCACCCACGGGCTGTCCCACCCATGCTTTCTGCTTATTTTTATCATGACTCCAGAGCTTTAGAACCAGAAGGGAGCCTGAGAATGTGTCCAACTGATACTGGTGTTCGTGTGAGTGCCTGAGAGAGACAGAGCTGCCGTTCTGAGCAATGAGAAAATCCGCACTTTCATTAAGACGCCAGAAGAGGCAGTAAACTCCACTGGCTGGTCCATTCCCATTTGTGACATTGCTCACTGTCAGGAAGGCCCTTCTTAGGCACTTAAGACCCCTTTCCTTTCCCTCTGCCTAACAGAAAAGAGTGGGCCTAGAGTTGGTGTCCCTTATGCCTTGAGAGCAGCCCTCCAGCCAAATGTTCACTCCTTACTGCATCTTCAGAGGATGTGCCCCTAATTCTCAGGTGACCTTTGGGTGGGCTGCTCCCTCCCAATCCTTGGTGTACACATGCTTCCTTAGCTGTGAGTCTTGTAGCAAACATGCCTCTGGAGGAGGGGCTGGCTGTGGCTGGGGACTTTTCCGTCACTGGATGATCTGCTCCACTGAACAACTAACTGGTGCTTCTCTGGGTTTAACTTTTCTGCTCTTTGCCCTAAAGTTGCCAAAATTTTCTGGGTCAAGACCAATCTTTAAAAACTTTTAAAAATTGTGAAATATGACAAACGGAGAAAAGGTTATGAATGTATCTGTTCACATGGTAAATGCTTGAGTACTCATCGGCCGGGTCAAGGGGCTTTGTGTCTGCCAGGTGCTGGGTACACCGAGACCACTGCCCGAACTGTGGGCGCCCAGAAGGCACACCTGAGCAGGGCCGTTCCTGAGCCACAACCTCTGAGATGTGTTCCTGTCCTTTTCTTCTTATCCTCTGACCAGCACCAAGGTGGCCTCCCCTCCATCCCCTAGGGTTGGAAGAAGGCAGAAACATGTCTTGTCCACCCAGGCTGCTACAGCAATATACCAAAGACCAGTGCGCTAAACAACACACAGTTATTTCTCACAGTTCTGGAGGCTGGAAGTCTGAGATCATGGCAAGGGCAGGTCCAAGTGTCTGGTGAGAGCCCACCTCCTGGTTCGTGGATGGCTGTCCTCTTGCTGTGCCTTCACATGGTGGAAGGGCTAAGGGAGCTCTCTGGGGGTCTCTTTTATAAGGGCACTAATCCCACCATGTGGGCTCCACCCTCATGACCTAATCACTGCCAAAGGCCACACTTCCTAATACCATCACATTGGGGGTTAGGATTCAACATATGAATTTTGGGGGCATACCAACATTCAATCCATAGCAGCATGTTTGATGCTGGCTCACCTCACCCTCCCAGTGTAGCTCTTAGGGGTCTCAGTAAGAGCCCACATCCTGGAAAGTCAGCCTTGACTTCTATGCCAAGTCCCATGAGGCCTTTGGAGCTGAACCTTCAATGTGTGTGTGATTTTTGTTTTGTTTAATCTGGCAAATGCCATCAGGGCAAAGAAGCTTTGGTGATCCAATATTCCATATGCTTCTCTGGGGCCAGACGTTACCCCAGAATTTGTTCTGGCAGTTTCTCACTATCTTGTCAGACTTTGCTTTAAGGAGATTTTTAGGTTTTTTTGAACTTTTCCCCCCAATGTTATTCCTTTTTATTATTGTTTATTTTTATTACAGTTTAAAGGTGATTTGAAAAAATATTTCATTCAGCCTTTTTTATTGTTAGCAGAGGGGTTACCTGAGTAACAGCCTGCCATTATCAGAAACAGAATGCAAGATGATGTTTTCACACTTTACTCAGTGTGCCATGTGGGAGAGCTGAGGGCCCGGGCGCACTCAGAGATGCTGTTCTTTTGCTTCAACCTGGCATCCCGGTCACGGCCACAGATAACTGTTTGATGGGAATGCTTCTGCATAAACTGTACTGCGTTCTCTTTTAAGGAATTATGCACTAATTAATTTTATGGTGATCTTTTTTCTAGTTTTCTTTTTTCTCATGCAGAGATTAATCTTACTGATCTGTCATCTTCAAGTCTGTCCATTTTCACCTTTTAAAAGTACTAGTTACATTCCTCAAATGAAGCCCTGCCTTCCTCAAAAGCCCTGTGAAACTCTGGTAGTAACCTCTGGTAGTTTCTTGGATCGTTCGTGTGTGTGTGATTTTGAATGCTAAAAGATAAGACCGGTGAAGAGCAGCAGTGGGTTCTAGGTATGGACACGAGTGGCGCTTTTTCGGTGGTCGATCGTGTAAATGTTCACCCCTGCACCACGTGCACCGTGGGTGCTCCGCCGCCGCCGCAGGGTTAGGGCAGCAACTGTCAGAGCCACCCGGGAGCAGCCAGGGCCGCTGGGGGCTGGGAGGGCTTTCTAACTGCCAGTGCTGCGGCTGCAGCTACCAGCCCAAGAGCTGCGAGAGCCCAGCGATCACTCTGAGCCAGGCCCACAGGCCAGCTGCGGGGGTCGGCGCAGGGTCCTCGCTGACCTGCCCGGGTGAGGTCAGTTTATCCGCCGCAGGGCACAGTAACGAGGCGGTGGACTGCTTTCATTACCTGGATTCCCATTTTCTTAGTTCTCTAGCCTAAAGTTCTGTAAAAACCCACGTGACTAGAAATACTGTTGTGCTCGGCTCCAGCGCTGTGTGCGCCACGGCCAAGGTCTCGAGTAGCCTTCACCACGCCTCTGGGGATGGAGTACTGTGTTCTTTGCCATTGCTTGGGGCAAACAGAAAACGAATGGAGTCTTTTTTATGTCTGGAGATGACCTCTTTTTATGAAGATACATAACACTCAGAGAGAGAATGACTTACCTGTTAGGTTTTTGGTGTTTTCCAAGTTGCTCACAGAAGGAATTGCTACTCTTACCTGGTAACCACGTTTTTTTTTTTCCTTCTAGTTTTATTAGGAGATACTTGACGTACAGCACCGTGTAAGTTTAAGGTGTAGAGCATAATGATTTGACTTGCATACATCAGGAAATGATGACCACAATAAGTTTAGTGAACATCCGTCACCTCATATAGACACAACATTAAAGAAATAGGAAAAAAAAATGTTTCCCATGTGATGAGCACTCTTAGGGTTTACTCTCTTTAACAGCTTTCCTGTATGATGCGCAGCAGTGTTCATTACATTTATCGTGTTGTACACATCCCTAGTACTTATTGATCTTATAACTGTAAGTTGGTACCTTTAGACTGCCTTCATCCAGTTCCTCTTCCCACCACCCCTGCCTCTGTAACCACAAAACTGAACTCTTTTTCTATAAGATTGTTTTAAAAGTATAACTGACCTAAAACCCTGTGTTACTTCCTGGTACCCAACATAGTGATTTGATATTTCTATGCATTTCAAAATGATCATCAGTCTAGTTACCATCAATCAAGATACAAAGATAGTTTCATAATTATTGAATACCTTCCCCATAGTGTCCATTTCACACCGAAGACTCACTTACTTTGCGCCTGGGAGTATGTACCTCTCCATCTCCCTCAAATATTTCTTCCCCCCACCCCCTTACACTCTAGCAACAACCTGTTTGCTTTCTGTATCTATGACTCTGTTTCTTTTTAGTTATTTTTTAAAAATTGAAGTATAGTTGATTTACAATATCATACTAATTTCAGGTGGACAACATAGTGATTCAATATATCTATATATTATACTCCATTTAAAGTTATTATGAAATATTGGCTATATTCCCTTGCTGTACAATATATTCTTGTAGCTTATTTATCTTATACATAGTAGTTTGTAATTCTTAATCCCCTACTGTATTTTGCCCCTCCCCCTTCCCTCTCCCCACTGGCAGCCACGAGTTTGTTCTCTGCATCTGTGAGTCTGTTTCTGTTTTGTTATATTCATTCGTTTTATTTTTTAGAACCCACATATGAGTGATAACATACAATATTTGTCTTTCTCTGTCAGGCTTATTTCAATAGCATGATACCCTCAAGGTCCATCCACATTGCTGCAAATGGCAGAATTTCATTCTTTTTTATGGCTGAGTAATATTCCATTGTGTGTGTGTGTATATACATACATATATATATATATATATATATATATATATATATATATATATATATATATATACAATATTTTTCTTTCTTTTTTTGACTTATTTCATTTAGCATTAATACACTCTAGGCCCATCCATGTTGTCACAAATGGAAATATTTCATTCAGTTTTTATATATATATATATATATATATATATATCACATCTTCTTTAACCAGTCATCTGTTGATGGACACTTTGGGTTGTTTCCACATCTTGGCTGTTGTAAACAGAGCTGCTGTGAACATTGGGGTGCATGTATATTTTTGAATTAGAGTTTCTTTTCTGGATATATGCCCAGGAGTGGGATTGCTGGATCATATGGTAGCTCTAATTTTAGTTTTTATTTTTATTTATTTTTTATTTTAATTTTTTATTTTTAGTTTTTAAAGGAACCTCCATACAGTTTTCCATAGTGGCTGTGTGAATTAACATTCCCACCAACAGTGGGCTAGGGCTCCCTTTTCTTCACATCCTGGCCAATATTTGTTATTTGTAGATTTTTTTGTTGACAGCCATTCTGACAGGTGGGAGAAAATCTCTCACTGTGGTTTTGATTTGCATTTCTCTGATGATTAGTGATGTTGAGCATCTTTTCATGTTCCTTTTGGCCATCTGTATATCTTCTTTGAAAAAATATCTATTTAGGTCTTCTGTGCATTTTCTTTTTACTCTAGAATATGGAACACTTCATGAATTTGCATGTCATCCTTGCGCAGGGGCCATGCTAATCTTCTCTGTATTGTTACAGCTT